CTTGAATAAGTGGACTGTACCCTACAATGTACATGTACTGTACATGTACATGTACATGTACACGTACGTCAGACATCACAGACGCGCATCGAGTTCCAAAAAGTGATAGCGCCCTCACGCGATTAACAGTAGTTCTGTGGCGCATTCTATCTTACCAATGGAGATCGACGATGCATCCACACAAGGTAAGAAGCTTTTTGAGGCTTTCAGATGTGTGATGAAAATATTTTAATACCTTGTATTAACTGATGTTAAATTTATTATTTGCATTAGTACTTTCCCCTCGTCTCATATTCGTTTCAATTTTTTTCTCGGTCTGACAGTCCCGAAGTTGTTTGGAAACCCCTATATAGTTTATAATGGAATGAACCAAGATGAATAACTACATGAATTAGTATATCATCTAAATGCAATGTACATGTAGGTGCAGTTCAGTGTGTGGGTGTTCAAGCCACTTCCGGATGTGTTAAAGACGCGTGAGTGATATCTAGGTCACACTGGTGGTGCAGCTGGAGTGTATGTAAACATTTTTTATCTATTTTTAAACGGAATTTCTGGATGCTGTGTGACCAGCCATCATGTCTTCTACTACAGCCACTGATGGCACGATACAGACACTTAAGATTGTGGTTGTTGGCGGCGGCGGTGTCGGCAAAAGTGCCATCACTATACAGTTTATTCAGGTAGACGGACATGGATGAATTGGATGAACTCGTAGGCCTATGCATATACATGTACATGTATGGCCACCTAGAGTGTGTGGGTTGGACTGAGAGTTTAGAAATAGGTCATTGGCAATTTTAGGCCTTTATCATGTACACCCCCGTGTAGACTTACATTGACATGTTGCCTGAATGTGTGATTTTCCACGATTGTGATTAATGACTCGGAAGTAAAAGTAGATTTGAAATTAATTTTGGTATTTAGCACACCCCACGTAAATGTAGGTTAACCCCAATGAGATAGGAACATCTTAGCTCTACTAATTGGAACGTTAGTATTCCTCTTTTTCAAATTGGACGGGATCATCACACTTATGCTCCACGCCTGTACATGATATAGTAAGGTTGAAACGGTTCTCAAAAATTCCACCAAAATTACCTCGATCACCACCCACTACTTGCTTCCGTAAATGCCAACATCAAATGGTTGGGGCTTCAATTACTCTATGCATAAAATAATTTCCACTGCTATTCATCATTTCATGGGTGAGTCCAACAAGGAACAAGGTTCTAAGCTCCACAAGCTATGGCAGTTGAAGAAAATAAAAGCGCTTTAGTTAGTAGTATGCAAGGTCAGACACATTCAACATGTGGATTAGCCCTAACAGTCCTCAATCCTCCAACAGGTGAAGGATTGAGGATTGTTAGGGCTAATTTAGCCTTTTATTTAGTGGGAAATGATCTTCACAAATTTTGCCAAATGTGTGAAAGGACACATGTAAGACTAGCTACATGTACATGGAGTGGAATTGGAAACAATGAAGAGAATGTGCACAGCAGAATTATTGAACAAATGCTCCCTTGAAAATGAAATATTGGTAGGCATGAAAGCATGGTAGGCATGAAAGCATGGTATGCATGTACTTAGTGCAGTGTGTCTCTTAAGGTTGCAAATTGTAAGGTAGGCCTACATCAATGATTTTTTTGGAGCTTTTTCAAAGGAATGGTATTTTGTTTTGATCCCTTTCAATGGTGGTGGTGGGGGAGGGGAGCTATCGCACTGTCTTCAGCGCTATCCTTAACCATACTTACATTGAATTACTTTGAATGCAGTATGTCCAACCTACATGCAGCCGTCAGCATCAGTTCCAATAATAGTTGGCACATTTGGAATGGACTGTGTAGATAATTGAACGATTTTTCACTTATTGCCTGTTGTGTATTGTCACTATTGTACTGGACTTACAGACAATGTGCCTAACATCGGGACGGATGCTGTGGATTGCATACAGGTACATGTACATGTCTCGTACACTCAAGATATTGAACATGGATTGACACTGTTTGTCCATTCTGTTCTTCCTCTAGTCCTGTTTTGTACAGGAGTATGACCCAACCATTGAGGATTCCTACACCAAACAGTGCGTCATTGACAATGTAGTAGCTAAGCTTGACAGTAAGTGTTGCCGTAGTAATTATCATTTGTATTTATTTGAATTGAAACTGAACTTCAACATGTTAGAGGGCTAAGGAGCAATTGAATACCTCATTAATTAAAAGAAAGGCCCAACTCCACCGTTTTGGCCAGTGAGAGTTAATTGATTTCCTTTGCAACTCCTTCCGAAAAATATTCCTTTTTTTTCTTTTGAACTCAAAAAAGGTTATGTTGGAGTTGGGCCCTTTGTTCAATTAGGTATTCAATTACAGGTACAGTACCAATCATTTCCTTGAATGCAATGGTGCTACCCAATGGAGGTAATTCTTGATATTCCTCTACCTACCTTAAAAGCTTTGATGTGTCTTGGGATACTTCCAAGCAAACGGTCACTTCGTATTGCGTTATTGATTTACAGCTCTCGTATGGTTCACACATATTTGACCAATTTTGAACTGCAGCATTGCACTTGTACATGTACATGTGTATATTAAAAATGTAACATTGGTTACCATTTGAAATGTAGGATTGGAACAAATTCGTTTATAATAAAACCTTGTGAAAATTTTGTAACCTCTAAAATGACAATGACAAAAGTCATATTTCATAAATGTGATGAATCAAGGTTGGAAATTTTATTTTCATAGAAATTCAGAAGTAGTTGTACTATTTATTTCTCCATAGATATTAAGTGTAAAATATTATACTTTTGACATGTTTAAATAGCATGTTTATCTCTACATGTAAGTAATGCCTGGGACTAACCCTTACTTTTACTCATATCGCCGCTAATTTGATTTAATCCCACAAATGAGACTGAAAGACATATTTCTACTTCATGTTTTCGTACACTATCATCATCATTTTGTCTCGTTTTGTTGGATGTACATGTATTTCATGATATACATGTAGACCTTATGTGCAGGGCCAAAGTTATGTGATGGTCTGTTGGTCAAAAGTGTCTATGGTAACTAACTTTTTGTCCAGAAGTATTGATTTTGTATGATAATCCTGTTCGGATTAAGTCTTCATCTGGGAGTTTTTGATCGTTCAAAACGCAAACACTGGGCAGTAATTTTCTTTGTTCATGTACTATTTTCTGTAGCTTGATTTTAAAGACATACATAGTGTCAACATGTATCTGTCCAAACATTTGATTTATAATTAAACCCATTTTGGAATTTTGAGTCTACGAGATCAAGGAAACATACTTTATAATCCAATCAATATCTTTTTATTAATCCTATTGTTATATTTCAAAGGTGCATTTACAATAACCCTTACTCAAAAGGTTTGAATATTCCACAAAGTAACAAAGAACAGAAAGTTTTAGACAAACGTCAAAAGATTTGACTAAAATGGGCTCTAAATTCCTTCTAGAATCGTAAGGAAGAGTAAATAATACAAATTATTTTTTCAATGGAAAGCAGAATCAAATGGAGAAGTTTATAATACAAACACTTTATTTTTTTTAGTGACTGAGTCTGGAGTAATAGGTCAAAGGTTCTGATCCGCAGTGAAGTGGGCTGGACCATAAGTTTACAACTAATTCAAGAACATGAAAAGCAAGACTGAGGCCCTGTTTTGCATGAAGTACAAGTTGATATGAATCCTAGATTCGATTGGTACCTGTAACGTTTTCACATGCTGTATCCCGTGATCTTGCATGTACAAGTGCAATCCTATCAAACTCAGCATTCAAAATAAAGTTGTCAAAAATGTACACCACTGTAATTTTGCACATGGGTAATTCCAAAATTAGGGGTCCAAAAGTGTGACATTTTTGTGTCACTGTTACATATACGTCTGACCTTTGTTATTTGACATGGAAATATCACCTGAATTGACTTTAAACTATTACTGTTTGTTTTGACAGGTAATTTGCATTAATTCATCACTCTTGGAAATTGGAAAATGTGTTCTGAAAGTACAAAATATTTCAGATGCGACAGGGACACGAACCCCCCCCCAAAAAAAAAAACCAGACCCCCAATTTCTGGAATTACCCTTATGACTATGAGTGTTGAAGCAAAATTCTCCTCTCAAGGTAGACAAAAAAGTGAGTACACTGGATATAAAGTGAGACCGTTATTTGGGCGAGCCCTAAACTGATCTACGTTCTCTTTTGAGATGCAAATTATCCTGAAATAACTTACAGTGTTTCAGCAATTTGAAGAATGTGTGAGCTGTATAATTGGCTTGCCATGGGCAATAAAAAGGTCTTTGAGAGAGTGCTGTGGTTTATATTTGGAGAGTTGGATGTACATGTACATGTAACGGAAATGTATGCTAACAAATTCTATTCCTATTTCAAAAAAAAAGAGACAGTACGAATGTCAGACCATAGATATTTTCTGGCCGTGAATATTTGCCAAAAGACAAAGTGTAGAGAACTCTGTATGTTCTATATATATGTATGTAGTTGGTTTGTGGTAAGTGGGCATTGCACAACTACATGTACATGTAATAGCAAGGTTCGTCAAGCTTTCCACACCACAAACATCCAGTCATCCTCGAGAGGTAGTTTACTGTCTGAGTGGAACATTTCAATTCACTACCATGTCAGTATGGTTACATACATGTGTAGCCTTGTACTTTGTAGGTGTCAAAAGCTTTTGAACATGCATGAAAATATTTTCCTAAGATCTCTCCCAAATAAGGAATTGTTTCCTGCTGGACATACATGTACAGTACACGTACATCATAAGTTGAATGAGATGACCTCCATGTAAAATGATGTATTCAATTCTTGTACAAAATTCAGATTGACAATCATATCCCTGACACTTTGTGTTAGTCTTTGGGAATTAAAGAGACCGCGTACATGTAATGTCAAATCCTTGAAATTGCACTTTTGTGTTTCAATTGACCTTATTTTCAATTTTTGTTTTATTATATTTTGTTCTATTCTAATATGAATTTGCATATTCATGAGCAAACTTTCACGTAATGCAAGGCACTGCATGCATGTTCATACATGTATCTGACTATTGAAGATTTTCATTTCCTTTAGCAATTTATTGTTATATACATGTAGCAACAAGCCTGCAAGCAACCTTTTCTCAAAAACGTTTTCAAAGAGCAAACTTGGGATTCAAAATTTGAACCTGAAACCATGCAAAATGAACAGTATCATCCTGGATTTACATCACACTAACAGCACCCTCACTTGTCTGGAAAAACTCGGTCAATTTTGAATGTTTAAACCATTTTCACTGCATGGTCACTGAAAAAGTTTACATTGAAGAAGAGTTGGAACATGCACAAAAAGTGATTCTAAGAAAACTTGATTGCATTGATCCTTGAAGTCCCATATGAATATGTTTGTTCCCCATTCATATTGTGTATGTTTCATGTGCTTGTAGAGTACATTGCCTTGTCTTTTATGACACCAATTCGTGCATCAAATTTGTATTTTGAAAGATTGAAACTCAATGTTTCCTGTTCATGAAAGGTAGGTGCTAAAAGTAAAAGTTGATGTAGGGACAGAACAACATGGATGGCATGCATTTTACACACACTCACGTATTCTGTCCAAACACTTCTGTGTAGATGTACATGTAGGATGTCCATGTATGCTGTCTGAATATATGATACTGAATTCTGGCTCAAATTGCAGATTTGGTCTTGGGAATCGTTGAGGTCTGATTTATTGGGTGTGAATATGTTGTAAGATTGGCATAAAATTAAAGACTTTATGAAATTATCAGAAATTACACTGTAGGCCTTACTGTGAAACCATGATCACTTACAGATGTACATGTACATGAATTTGTACACTGTACCGGAGTTCATTATTGAGCCATTTTCTTTCTTTGTGAAACTCTCATTTATAAGTGTTTTAAACATTTAAAAAAAAGAGAGATAAAAACTGGACAACTTGTACAGGCCTTCCGTGGTTTGTTACAGCAAGAATTCTTTGCAAAATTATATGTAAATGTATGTGATAGAAAAATCTAATTCTATATATAAAAGTCAGTCTTCTTTTGAATGAGTATCAACTGTAATTTAAGATAATAATCAGAGTCATTGATATGCGTACTTCTTCAAGTTGATGTACATTTACTGTGTTTACAGTAGGATTTTGTGTGTCATTTAGTTCTTACACTTTGCTGTGATATTGTACATGTACAACAAGGTTTTGTGAACATCCAGCCCATGAGTAATATTACACTGTTCGCATCATTACGTCATTTTGGTGAAATCTACGATGAAGCCCTGTGTATGCAACGTTATACCAAGGATTTGCATTACACAGGACGACGTGACTGTGGATTTGTATTGTAAGTTGTCATCAGTTATGAAGGTAAATGAACTGCTGAATTGTTTTCCCTTAGGACGTTCGGTCCAGCCACATAAATCTGCAGGTTCAGTGAAAAACATGCAGCAAGTCACCTGACATACATGTACATGTACATGTACATTTATATTGCACACACAGGAAATGTTCATGTTTTGCACAGACATGCGTACATGTAGGTCTGTTATCTGTGAACTAGTTTTTGCCATCCACATTTACTATGTAATGGTGTCAGAGCAGATTGTTGCTGAGAATGTTTGAGGATATGAGTAAACAGTGTATTTAATCAAAGCTAACTCTTTACAAATTTGCATTTTTAATGTTTGTGTAAATTTGGGTGAAAAATCTGTTCTGATAGCTGTGATGGAAATTTGGTCTTGAATTTTACTTATCCTCACTGATTTCAACATGATACCAGAGGGGCCCACTCGATGCTCCCCTTTTTCCTTCAGTTCTGGATACTTTTCTCGCCCATACGTGTTAAAAGTCTGCCCCAGACCGTGCTAAGGTTTAAACTCCATTAGATCAAGTAATGAGCTTGTTAATGTGCAGCATGCACAAGCACTGTATATATCAGTGTTATGCACACGTACAGTTGAACATTGATCTGGAGAGCACTGCTAATACCAGGTCATATTTATAACAAGGACTGTGTTAGGTCCCAAGTCTTTTTTGTTTTCTTTTATTTTCCATTACTGATAATACGAGGTACGTGAAAGTATTATGACAAGGTAATTTGTGAAGTCCCAAGGGCCTTGTTACAAATGTTCGGCTGTGTAGTGTTTGACAAAAGGTTGTGTTTGCTTCAGGCTGACTTTAGTTTGGTGTTGTTTAGTCTTAATGATTCTTAGAATTTGTATGCATTGATTTCAGTTCTGGATACAGCAGGTCAAGATGAGTTTAATGCAATGAAGGAACAGTACATGAGAACTGGAGATGGATTTTTGCTGGTATTCAGCCTGACTAGTAGGACAAGGTACGTACTATACACCTGTCCGTGGGGGTGCTAGATGCCCCTATTAACCTTAACAGTCCCCAAGCCTTCATTCACCAGAAGTTTGAGGACTACTAGGGTTAACCTTTCGTCAGAATGTGGCTTGCATGTCATGGGTATCAAGCGTTGGAGACGAACAAGGGATTGGATGAGGGAGTGTGTGATTAGATGAAAGGGAAGTTTGTTCCCCCCACTCCCCCGTCGCCCATACACAGGTCTTTACAGGTACAAAACTAGAAACACCCCCATTTCCAGGAAGGGGAATCACTCTTTCCAATGGATAGGGGCAAGGCACTCAATTACTATTGAGCCTACTGAAAAACTGTCAACCGCGAAAGGAGTCAATATTTAGAAATATTCCATGAAAATGACAGTTTTTTCTTTGTCCTCCTTTCATTTTTGTTTCTATAACAGGAACAAAATGAGGAAAAGTGCTAAAGAAATGAGAAAATAGAGATAAATGGGCTGAAAATCCACCCCTTTTAACACCATTCTTGCACAGCGCCCACTTGTCCAAGATAGGTTAGCCACATTTGTATAATTTTCCACCGCCATGCTCACTGCAGATTGAGTTGTCAGATTGAGTTGTAACTGCACATTTGTACTGAGAAGTGTTTTTACATGCATGCCGAGTAACAGTCCAAAATAACCCGGCTCTTGTAGGATTACAAAAATAGAAATTCTGGTTTAGGCTGAATTCCACCAGCCTGTGAATAGATAACATGACTGTCGGTGAACACTCGTTGAATCCTTCCTTGACTCTGTTGCATGTAGAAATTACTTGTCAATGGCATTTCCGTGGTTTCTCAGAGGCTGGTTTTTTAGTTTTATTTAGTTACAACAAATGCACAAAAGCTTTACTCCAACCCATCCCAGTGATACAAATCTCTTGCTCTCTGAGGATAAGTTAATGGGTAATTCCAGAAATCAGGGGTCCATCTTTTTCGTGTCCCGTCACATCTGACATATGATTTTTGCAAGTTCAGAACACATTTTCCAATTTCCAAGAGTGATGAATTAATACAAATTATCTGCCAAACTATTGGTAGTAGTTTGAAATCAATTCCTGTAATATTTGCACATCAAATAACAAAGGTCAGATGTAACAGGGACAGAAAAAGTCACACTTTTGGACCCCTCATTTCTGGAGTTACCCTTATACATCACCTCTATTGTCTTAACTGTCATTAAGTGTCCATGAGACCATAACTACAAGCTATGCAGTCCCATGCCTCTTCTAAACTTTGACTTTGTAAATGTATTCTCAGAAAGTTGTTCAAAATAGTTACATTCAATCTAAAGGTTTCATTTTGGAGGAAAAACATTGCACCTGTGAAATCATTTCCATGAAGGAAACGAGTCACTATTACCATTTCATAAACAGGAAAATCTCCACATGTAATAAAAACTTCAGAGCAAAAAGTGACTGGAAATTGATGAATTAATGGAAGCAGAGACTGAAGAACCGCATTGTATGAACATACGTGTACATGTATTCTGATGTGTTTTCTTATGATGTTTGTTGTCATTGCTTTCCCAAACAGTTTTGAGGAAATTGTCAGGTTTCATCGGCAAATACTCAGAGTAAAAGATCGAGACGAGTACCCAATGATCCTGGTTGCTAACAAGGCAGACTTAATTAACCAACGAGTTGTAAGCAGATTTATGGTTTGTTTTTATACTTGGTATGAGCCAGTTATTTGCCTCACTATTGTGTTTTGATAGTTGAACTTAAAAGGATACATGTACATAGCATGTACTATCAAGAAACAAATAGTACATTCCCATAACATTTCACCCATGCATTCTGTATTGTGATTGGTCAAGAGCCACTTACATGGCATTCACTAATTTAGCTATACCCTTAGCAACCAAAGTACATTACCCATAGCAACAAAAGAACTATATGCATGACTGCCAGTATTGTGTGCAAATATATACTGGTTCAAACATTTTGTGAAGAGCTTGTTTGGAATAGTACTGGTACATGTGCATGTAAATTACCAATAAATTTCCTATTTAAATAGGCGAGCTTTTATATGAAGTTAGATCAAAGTAATCCGTCTTGGCTTAAATCAAGCAGAATCTGTGGGGGAGGTGTTATGAAACAAATATGGACTGGCTTCTTGTTATAGCGCAGTAAAACTCACCTCCTTCAGTGATAAACGGAGCATTCTATTTTCCTTCAGCTTTGCCCCAGAGAATAAAGAATTCTGTATTGATTATCTTGGGAGGCCAGTTTTACTACCACTTCAAGCAGTTGATATTTGTATAATATGACACCTGTGATATGCTACCTTGACTTGAAGACTGGTGTACAACTACCGTACACATTTGTGAATCATGAGCAAAAAGCCACACAGAGTATTTGTTTGCTTGGAATACGGGCGATTCACAATAGTGCGCCTCCAAGAGTTTGAAACGCGTTGGCCAATCACAATGGGCAAAATTTGTCGACCCTTTCCCAATGCACGTTGGGTCGACAGATTTCGCATTGCAAACTCTTGGAGGCGCACTATTGTGAAATGACCCAAATGTGTTCTCTGAGGATTCTAACAATGGCTAGTTGAGTGTGAAGCTTATGAATTCATTTAATTCCAACAGCTGTTTATTTCCTGGATGAAAAGTCTGCTGCATACTGATTGACTGTCATTCAGCAGTGGCAGAATTGAGTTTCATTCAATCAGTATTTAATCCTACAAAGTTTTGTGCAGTTCTGTTGCTTTTTTGTGTTTTCCATGAAGGTGTGTGGGGAAGAAGCCCAAGAGCTTGGCAAACAGTTAAAAGTCGATGTCATTGAAGCAAGTGCCAAGACTAGGATGAATGTAGATCAAGCATTTCATCAACTTGTTAGAACAATAAGGTGAGAAGATTGGCCTATAGAGGCTTTGAATGGTAGCCATCTTGCAGGGCAGTTCTTTAGTTCCACTGGTAAACCTCCCATGTGCATACTCTGTGGCACCAAAGCACTGGTCTACAAGATGGCAGCCATGCAAACCCTATATTAAGGACTGATAAAAGGCTGGTTTGGAAACAGGTTGTGGATTTGAATCTTGTGCGGAGATGCTTTCTCTAGGGCACTCTTCCTGACCCTCTTGATGTAGCGTTCATCTGCCATTTGTTATAGTCACACTTTGCGCAGTATGCAGGTTGTAGGCAAACCTTCAGAGGTTCAGTGAAGGACACAAAAATTATGAGAAAGACGTAGTCTTGGTCCAAGACTGGATATGTATTGCTTTTGTCTCCGTTCACGGCACAGGTGATATGCGCTGACCAGTGCAGCCGATTAGCACCAATCCATAAGAGAACTGTACTGAAATCCAGTCTTAGGGAATCTTACCTGAAAAATTCTGACCAGATTCCAATTATCAAGAATAATAACAGCTGTGTATCACATGGTGATTGGAGTAAGTACCCAGATGTACATACTGTACGGTGTGTTACTGCTCCGTGTATTCATTCAATTAACTGTCATTTCATTAAGGCATTAGTTGACTTGTAACCCCTGAATAAACAAAATCCCTAAGCAAAGTCCTTATGACTGGCACACTGGATGAGCGTAGTTTTATAGCCTGATGGCCCCTGCTATTAGCATGCCTTGCATTGTGTATAGCACTTCCTGAAGGCAGGAAGCTCTTGATCTGTCTTTTGATGTCGTGTGATGTGTTTACAGTTAGTTTGCTTCTGTGTTATGGGGATTTGTTTGCCTGTTTTGTGGTCTGGGAAATGTTTGATTTCTCCTGTATCGCATCGCGTTTTGTGACGCAATATCGACCAAATGCTATGCACATGTACTTTCTAAAATAAATCGCATATTGTGATGCAAAATGCACAGGGCTTCATGATGTAATGTGCTTGATTGACACATATAGCAGGGCACATTATCCTTTGAAATACACATATGTGGAAATTGAATCTGCTGACCTCATTGGTTCCCACACAAATTGTGTTCACTCGAGATAGCCAGAGCAGGAATTAGTAATGTTCATGCATTTCACAGGAGCAGAGTGGCTACTGGCATGGGCTCCAGACATATACTGTACATGTACATGACGGAACACGCAGTCATCGTTTCATGTCTCACCGTCGGACATTGTGTTAAATTGACTTCTGAACAAGTCAAATGGAAGTTGAAAGTGATGGAGATGTAAAAATGATTAATGGAAGAGTGAAAAACAAGCTCAACTCACAGTGCTAGAGTAAATAAATGATTGTTTCATTTTTGGCTGACATTACTAAGGCTTTTGGTTTACAGGGAAGATTAATGTAAAGCGTGGTGCATCATGTGCTACCAGATTGTACATACATTTTTAGGGTCCCTTAACGTTGTGCGCCTCAACGGTGTTCAAAGGTTTTCTTGGTAAGGATACTCACTCCAGATCCTATATCAACCATGAGTACTAATGGTACACAGTTGACGTTCACCTTGCAGTGTAAAGAGTTTGCTTTAATTCCCCGGTACATCTGTCACCAGGGTGTGAATGTCATTGTTGCTAGTCTCTGGTGATGAGTCTGCGTAGTCATCACAAACTTGGGAAAACTCCAGTCTTTTTCTGGTGATGTTGGCTGAAAGTAGCTTGCGGTCATGTGTCACTTCGGGTCTGCTTCTGTCTGTGTACGCTGCTGAAGTGACCAACTTTGTGGCATGAATGGCATTCTTGCTCCCTGGCGAGACTCACCCTTTTATTCGCCAAGTGCGTTTCTGAACCGCAGCAGTAACAAAATGTCGGTTTTGATGAAGGCATGGCGTGCTGGTTGTTGGGGTTTCCTGATTTTGATTTCGTTGTTTTCAAATTTTCATAACTTTGGTAACTTCCTGCATTTGAACATTTGAGTCTGTGTTTTGGCTTCTTGGATAGCTTTCTCAAAATGACGTGCCATGTCCACAGCCCTTTGAAGAGTCAATTCTTCGGCCATGAGTAGCCTCTCTTGAATTTTTGGACTGCTCGTTTTCTCCGCAACTTTGTCCCGTATCATTTTGTAGTTCATGGGCCCCAAATCGCATGTTTTTGAAAGGTCTTGGAGTGCAGACAAAAAATTGCCTATAGACTCACCAGGTTGTTGAGCTTTTTGTTGGAATGTGGCCGAAAATGCTCTCTAAGTGCTTTGATAGTATGCTCGTATTCAGTACAATAGCGGTGAGGGATTACCTAAAACTAAGTCTCACTATCTACATGTACATGTGACAAGGGAGAAACCGTATGGCCATGCATCTTTGATCAGACCCTGTAAGGCTAGCACAAAACTCTGGCGTAGTAGACCTTGACAAGGTAGCCAGGGTATGGCTGTGGCAGGTTTTGAATGAGGTCAATTGCATTTACATCTAGTAAGCACATTCAAATAACATTCCAATTTTAATTGTAATTTAATGTATTTTCTTTAGAAAATTCCAAGCTGAAGAGAACCCACCTATGCTGCGAACATCCAGTAAAAGAGAAAAGAAACCTTGCTGCACACTTCTGTAACATGGTAAGATGTCAAGATGAGGCAATAAATTCTACATGGAATAAAGGGTTCTGTTCTACATGTACGTGTATTGTAGATACACAGTGCTGTGGTCAATAATACTGCTGTACCATGTCTTATTCATAACCTACTACTAAGGAATAAGTTTCACCTTCCATCAATGGTTTCAACAAAACAAAGAACTTTAGATTTCATGTGATTTGGTGAGATGTTGCATGTGTGTTTTAAAATCTTTCACCAGTCAGGCAGTGAAAGCATATTGTTATCTACTGCTGTTTTCTTATCCTGTTTATGACCCACTCTGCGTAAGTCACAATGCGCCAGAGCCATTTATAAGCCATGTAAGTCTCAATTCCGACGTTTCCAGATGGAACTCTTGTTTCTTAGTAGCAGGTCATGAGTTTTAACCGTTTTCTTGCCATATGGAGTAATGATTGTTTTGGGTAATGACTTTATCACAAGTTTGCGTTCAACAAATAATGTGACGTTTGAAAAATTGAAAGTTGAATGGAAAAGTGTTTTTGAAAAAATGTTTGAAATTCTGAACAAAATTTATGAAAAGTCTGCTGACTGCATTTTGTGTGCTAAATGGCTATAGTATTGATGATGAAAACCCATGGGGCCCAAAATGGTGAAACCCTGGCATGTGACAAGTTATACACGCAAATGACACAGTGTTCGAGGAAGACACATGTAGAGTTGAGGACACCTAGCTGTCATAAGCTATTCCTGAGCCCCATGTGCCAGGAGGACTTCTGTTATCAGTGTCTCTCTGTTCCAATGTTGAGGGGGGGGTACTTGAAGTCATAAAGCTGTAAGTGATGAACTCACAGCACACAAACAATGTCAGTTTGACAGTGGGTTGTATATATACATGTATACTCTACATGTCTATCTGTTAAAGGCTTCTTACACACACAATTGTACTGTGGAAACTGGGATCCAAAACACACTGTATTGATCAAAGAAAGTTTTCAGCCTGTAGCGTTGGGATTAATTTTTTACTTAATATACTTTGATGAGTGCTTAAGCTTTTTGCAGGTTGCACTTTTTGACAGGTGCTCTAATTAAAAAACAAGCAGTTTGACAACAAAGCTCATATGATTAACTTCCAAGTATAAAGATAAAACTGCAGCAAAATGCCCCATCTGCTATGTTAGGTCATCGTGACAAATCTGGAGTAACTTTCAAACTGCTACTTCGTGAAAAAGCAGTAAAGTTAATACATTGTCATATTAAGAGACTGTCTACTTGTCAGCTGCATGCAAAATTGGTCTTCCTATATATATGTACATATCGGGGGAATGTTTTGTAATCCAAATACATGTACTAACATAATCGTGACTACAATACTCTGAATGCATACATGTATTTGGTTTTTATGTTACGCATCTGACACATGACTCAACAAAGAATGTGCAGGTCTTTGAGAGATGAAATTTCTTCTGGAAAATGCAAAATCACATTGTTTAATTGGCTTCCACTTACATTCAAATTGGAACAAGATATTATGTACATGCACATGTATGTAAGAGCAAGGAAGTCATGTCCGTCCCACAATGCTTTGTTCATAGTATTAACGGGTCAAAATTTCCTGTTTGTTTTTCTTTCTCATCTGAAAATCAAACTACATGTACATGTACGTGGCTTGTTTGTAATGTACACTTTTCATCTTTAGTTCATAAGTTATAATGTTTAGACTGAACTGATACTGGTACAGGGTTGTATTCCATTTCCCTGAATTAAAGGTGACTGAACTTTATTGCCTGTTCATGAATACCTAGGACAGTTGGAGCATTCTTATTGGTTGAAAGTCCACCATGTGGGTGCCTTTCAACTGTTAGTAAAATGCTGCTGATTGCCATTACATTATGCATTGTGGAGGCACACTGCATTCCAGTCTCCATGTTAGGAAATGTATTGTCCATGTTAAAGACTTGGTCCATACACGTGATTTTCAGGGGTTGTATTTCACAGTACAGGAAGTAAATGGTTGAACAAAATAATTGGAAAGTTGTCAATTCTTGAGCTGTGTTGGCTTTTTTACCAGTAAGGTATAGTTTAGAACAGTTTAAAACTTGAAATTTATAACTGGCAATGGTCTGGTTTCTAATGGCAGTCTTTGTCTTTTCCCTTGGGTTCTTATCAGTGACCTGGCTTCATTGTAAAGCGTACCTAATCATGGTATAGTTCACTGTCTTATATCAGTTTGTTTTCCAGTGTCATATGAGCAACATGATTTGTTATCAAGCTATTTGATGTACATGTACTCTTGCTTTTTCGCCTGCAGTCATACAGAATTCTGTCTCAACATAATATAAACAGGTGCTTTTTGTTAATAATGTGAATGTGCTGTGCATGGGAGCATGTGGCTTTTTATGAGTGGGTGAGGATGTCAAATGTTGTCTTAGAGCACAGGTGACACCTCTAACCAATCCTTAAATGGAATGAAAGATGGTTTTGCTATGGCGATCATTGCATCATCTTTTTTGGTTTGAAGACCTGAGGAAGGGCGACATTACAGTGCCATGTCTATACTCCCCTGAACTAATTTGAGTGAAACATTTTATTACAAAAAATAGGTTTATGTTTAATTTCTACCGTGAAAAGGTTTCATTGTTCAACTATGCATGAAGTAGGATTTCTACTGTCGTATTTGTGTGCATGAGTGTTGTATAGAGGAGCTTTCTTAGATTAAATGGAAATTTTGGAACCCATGTCATTTCAAGAGCCAACTACTTTTACCATCATTATTTTAAAAGCTTCATTGATAGGGTCTATTTTTTCTTCCTGTTGTATGGAAAAAAGTAATTAAACTTCTCTGAGCACCCCTCACCATCAGGAGTCTCCCTCTGGGGGCAAGAGGGGGGTTGGATGGCAGAATACAGGCATCAAGTTTCCTTCATAATTCTACAATTTTCTTTGTTTTGAAATGTTCTGTCAGAAGGTAGGGGGTGGCCTCCCCCCGAACATTCCTGCCTACTTCCCTGGCATTTAAATTGAGTTTGTTGTGAAAATTGTGGGTAAGATACAAATGAAGGATTGTGAAGTTCTTCAATTGTTTACAGTTGATAGATGACTTAATTTCTCACATCGGATAGCAGTAGGCTGCATTGAAAATGTGAATAGGAATATTGAGATAATAAACAATTATAGCCTTACGTTTAACCGGTGCGGATACTATTTTACCCTTTTGTTTCATCCTTTATATGCTTGAAACAAAGTCTTATCTTAATGTTTAGATTAATGGTATTATTGCCAAATGTTGTAAATCAAGTATTGTTTACTTTTTTAATGAACATTAGAAATGTCAAAAATATATGCATTGTATGAACAAATTTGTAAAGTTAAAGTCTCAACAATATGCTTCCAAACACACAATATAAAATATTTTATGGAATTTGCCTTGGTATTTTTGCACTTTCTTTTTCTAAATGGAATTTCTTAATAGGCCAGCTCTATGCTTACATGTAAGTAGGTGTGTAGATTGGAATGGTTTAGGATAACAGAGGATGAAATTTTGTTTGTCAAGATGAAGTTAGGTTACCTCGACCAATGTAAAGAGTAGTGCTGTAGTTTTGCTAGAGATTCGATGGATAGCTATTAGGTTTTCCGATCTTATAGTTAGCTGTAAGTTTCCAAAAGATGTGTAGATGTAATTTAATTTATAATAAATAGCTATCATTGTTGGAACTACAACAAATGAAATGTCATATTATATTCAAGATAAATAAATAGTGCTTTTAACATTTAGTCCCTAAAATTACTGTCATAGTTTGTTTTTTATTTGTTTTCTCACTCCCACCCAGGATTTTATGATCACAACCACTTGGAAAAGATGTAAGCGAAACAAGTTCAAGCATAATTTTTTATTTCCATATCTAAGCAGTTTTTGTTTGTAAAATTTTTTTTCTCCACTAACCATTTTCCCCCAAAATTTAGAGGGCCACAAATGTTTTTATCTACCTTGCCCCAAGAAAGAACATCAATGTCTTGTTTCGGCAGAAAATGTGTGGGTTTCACAAAAATTATGTTTTTTGGAGATCTGTCTCAGGCATCGTCTCTGACATTGGAACCACTTGGGATGACATCATACTCTTCAGTGTTCTTTCAACAGAGCGGATTTTTTATGGAGCTGATGACAGAAAAGTTGGGGAATAAAATCATCAGATGGATGTGGAGACCTAACAGATTAAACATTGTAAAGAGTTTCAACTTGACTATCAGCTCAACAGTGTTGTGCTGGTGACTTGGGTTACAGGCATCGCATTGAAGTACAGGCACGATGTTTCAAAATTGGAGTAGATTTCACCCAAATTCTTTTGGGTGATCAGCTTTGAATACAAACTTTCACAAAAGACTACAGAATTTCCTGCTTAAAATTGGACAGAAATTGCTGAATGTTTTTAAGGCTTTAAGGGGTTACATTTCCCCCTAATTATTTGAATTGAGATTTGATGTATTTAGCATCTAGATTTTCATTTGCAGGGGGAACTTACTAAAAATAAAGCACTCCCCTCGAAAAAGGGCTCCTATATATTTAGGGGCCGTGGGCCCCCACTGTTTCCCACCCTAGATCTGCTCTTTGTTAGTTAGTATCTGTCATCTGATGGCATGAAGGGCCCTCGTGTGAGATGGGGCCAGGTATGAAGTAATAGTTGGATTTTTCCATGGAGTTGCAGTGTTTGGAGCTGGAAGACTATCAGGGTGCAGACCACTAATTCAAGTGAGAATTTCTGACCAGCTTATTAGCATTAAAAGTGCCCCC